CAACAACATTCAAGAAGCTTGTCACCATCCAGGACAAAGCAGCCCCTGCTTGATTGGCACCACATCCACAAGCATCCAGCCCCTCCACCATCAACGCTGAGTAGCAGCAGTGTGTACCAACTCCAAGATGTCTGCAAAAATTCACCAAAGATCCTCAGACAGCACCTTCTAAACCCACAGCCACCTCCATCCAGAAGGACATGGGTGGCAGATAGATGGGAATACCACCACCTTCTCAAGGGCTACTAGGGATGGGCAATAAGTGCTGGCCAGCCAGCGACGCCCACATCCCACAAATGGATCAAAAAAAATTAAGCTGAGGTACCGTAAAAGATCCCACAACACTATTTGAAGACGCATACAAGTGGCCTCTCCTGTCCTGGCCAACATTGATCCTTCAGCTAAAACTACCAAAGACAGAATAATAGGGCATTCATCACTTTGCTGTTTGTGGGACCTTGTTGTCTGCAAATTGGCTGGCATGTGAGTGTGGAAACAAAAGTAGCCTGTTCAGCCTCTCAACCCTTTACATCGTCATGTTTCATTTCCGGTCAAATAAGTCTGATCCTTCATTCTTGGGACTCCTGTAAGATCTTTCGTTCTGATAGTAACTTTTATATTGCCTTCAAGATGTGCTTCTGAATTTACCCACAGTCCAATGTGCTCTTTTTACTGTTTCTTTCTCCTGGTCGATCTTTCTTTCTTCTTCAAAATGTCACCCAAACCCTAAAAGAGAAAGGTAATCCCTTTTAATATTCTAATTACCACCCAATTATCTTTACATCAGTACTTTCCAAGAGTATAGAAACTGCCATTGCCTTTAGAGAACCGTGGGTACAGCAGGGGCTGGGGTTCACCATCACCCTGGATAATGTTGTTTTGATTTCATTTTGACAAATTTCAATTCCAGTTCTATAAGTTCCCATTGATCATTTGATTTTGTTTTTGTTACACTGCCCCACCAGGGGATGTCTAACCTGATTAAAGTTTTGTTGTTAAACAGTCGAAACTGCCGTTAAGTCTTAGGTTGTCCATCAGGTTGAATGCTCTGGCCGTAATCTAACATAACTGCTCAAGGTACTGTCCAACACCGAATGAGACTGTTGGAAACCCTAAGGTGGTTCCATGCAACAAAACTGATGCTGTCACAAAAAGTCATACCTTGTTAATGATACAATCATTTGATTTGCCTGATTTGATCATGATAAACTGAACACAGCTGAAAAGTATTTTTAAATTTTTATCTGATTTCTCTCAAAACCTATTGAGGTAAAATTTGAACCTGCTTATTCTATCATTTGAACACAGATTCCTGGGGAAACGGGTACAGTTGTGTGCAGTTACACAGCTACATACATCGTTAGCGGCTGCATGGACATATTGCTATAAGCATAGACACATAGGTGTATACAATGTTAAACGAGTACACATGAGGAGCTCTGACATTTGCAGTAAATAAAGTTCACAAATTTAAAGAATTAAACACAATTACCGTGGGAAAATAAATGTTTATTACAATTTGAATCACTATAAAAAGGTTTGTAAACAAACAAATCAATGAAGCAACCAAAGAAACAAGTTTGAACATAAGACCTTTCAACTTGTGCTATATAACTGCTCCTATTCAGTTCATTAATAAATATTTTATTTACAACAAGTTGTTCCAGAAATATTCCAGTGCACAATATTTACAAAAGAGAGGACACAATTCCAAAGGTAAGAATCACTACAAAAATCTTTGATTTTCACTAGATGTTCTTTGTACGTTTGGTAACTAGTTGGCTTTATGATTATTGTCGTATTGTATATTTCTGATTTTATAAACGCTTGTTAGTTATGTAAGGGAAGTAACTAGGATTTTTCAAAAGACTTAAGACTGAAAATCTTTCCTGTTCCACTATTGGATAACTGTAGTTTATTTCCACTTAGTTTAGCATTTTAATGAATAATCAGGAGACTTGTTGAGCCCCCATTCAAAGTAAATTAGGGAAAACTTGAATCAATAGTTTTTCCAAGTAATGCAAGAGAATTAGATGGAGAAAGAAGATGTCTTCTGTCTGAAAAGGGAATTAAAATATGAAGTAATGCCTTTCCTGTCAAAGCACAACTCCTTTTCCTCATCTGCTGTGTTTCCGTACTTAGATGATTCAAATCCCTGTGATCAGCAGAATGCAAGGAACTCTGGTATGGGAAGAAAATCCACATGAATCTTTTACCCATTTATTAAATGAATCCTTTACCCACATTACAATTACCCTAGAAAGGAATGAGTCCACAGTACCTGCTCTCCCCAACAAAAAAAAATTGTGACTCTGCCTGTAGTTCAGATCACTTTCTCATTGTGCCAATTTGTATGGTTAAGATCTAGCAAAGTACCACTTAATTATCCCTGCTTGAAGTCAGAAGTGTATGTTAACCAGCATGAAGACTTATGTAAACCCACCTCCCTCAGCCATGATGTTACCTGAATGTTTTTGTATTAATTGACTTTAAAAATGGAGTCAGATACAGCTGCATAAGCTTACGACATGACTCACAGACATTGCAAAATTATGGGAATAAAGTTCTGCAAGTAAAGAAAATTACTTTTCATAAAAATGATAGCATGCCACATGTAAATAAAACTTAATTGGTGAACAGGTTGTGAATTCCTGGGAATAAAAGAATCATTTCTTTCAGAGTTTATTCCAAATGCAGATAGATTTACTCTGCCAGTGCTCTGTATGTACTCTAAGTACTCTTTCTCATACAGTACTTTTGTGGCTACAGACCTATCTTATTATGTAGTTCGTGTTGTGCATGTATACTGTTCTCAATATTGTCCAATGTTCTTCCCTTTAGGATACAGTATATCTGCTATTTCTATGCTGTTCCCATGGTTATATAGTGCTTGTATCCCTTCTAAAGTTTTCAGAATTTCCAGTCAGCGCTGCTGACCTTTTACTGGTGCAATTTGCAACAGGGGGCCATTTGGTCCATCATTTCTGCAACAACTCTGCAAATAAGCATTTCACTTAGTGTCATTCTCTTACTTCTCCCCGTATTCCTGCACGTTTGTTCTTTTCAAATTAAAGCCTAATTCCATTTTGGATTTCCTTCCAATTGGACTTGCCTCCATCATGCTCACAGGCAGCGCATTCCGTATCCAAACCACACTCTGAATGATCATGCTTCTTTTGTCAATTAATTTAACTCTGTGCCCTCTTGTTCTCGATCCTTTCGAGAGTGGGAACAGTTTTCCCCCCTCATCTGCTTTGTCGAGACCCTCCTGATGTTAATCGGTGTAGCTCGATCAAAAGCTTGCGGAATTTTAATTGCAAATTGCATTCAGCGAAAGTTTCTGCGCGTTTGCGCTAATGTAAAAATCATTGCGTTAGAAGCAAGCCACAGCTCCGAAACTGGCCATAGCCCCATGCTGAATTAATCAGCACTTCGAGTTCCTGCTAATTGTGGTCATTTGCAGGCCATCGTGAAGATCCTAAAATTACTTTGGTTCCTTTAGTCTCAAGCACACGAATAGGCACATCTTAAAAGCTTTCAGTTATAACTTTTGTTTTCAATTTACTCAAACTATTGCACCCAATGTGTCAAGCAAATGGTTTATTTATTTTTAAAAGTAATTTTCCAATCATTCAAAATCGGGCTGTTCAGAGGTGGTGGGTTGACACTGCGATTAACTTGTTTTTCTGCCATAAATTCATTTTCAGTTGCATTAATTAAACTGCACCACTCTTAAATAGTTCAAGATTAAATAAAAACACAGCAAATTTGTTTTGCTTAAAATTATGTTTCAAAATGCTGACTAATTGCGCGAGTTCGTGGCAGAGTTTTGCTTTTGGCAATCTGCAAATGGGTTTAAGCAGTAACTCGGGGAAAAGGAGCACTTCGCAAACGGACGTAGTTTCGGGCGCAGTTTGTGTTTGGGTCATTAATTTGTGCTCAAAGCAGAAACTCTACCCCATATCAACCGTTAAGTCCAAAACCCAGCGAAGATTGTGACAGAGGTGGGGGAGGAGGTCAGACTGGGGCTTCAGTTTTGATATTTGTTTGGCAAAGTATGAAAATTCATTTAAGAAATTGTGGGGTGCAGAAATAAGCAGAAAACATGGTATTCCATCTTTTAAAAAATTAGACTTTTGGTGTCCATTTTGTTTTGTTTTGGAATTGTCTAGGCAGTCCGCTCAGGAACTGGATCTTTGCAGTCCAGAACCAGTAAGTGGTATTGAGACTGCCTTTTTTTTCCTCTTCAATAACATATATGTACGCAGGAGCAAGAGGAGGCCAGTCAGCCCCTTAAATATGCTCCGCCATTCAATTGTGACTCCTGTCCTAATTATTTTATCGAGATTGTTTTCACTCATTTATCTTGAAAATCCCCAGGCTGCTATCTGCGCATCCACCTTCTACAGAAACAGGGGAGAGCTATTTATACAGACACCACGGCAGCTTTGTGACAGGGCCCTCGCTGGATTGAAGGCGTGCTTGTTTCTTTGCGACCAAAGAGGTTCCTCACTCTTTAGAACATGTGGGGCACATTTCCAGATAAATTATATGTTTAACATAGATATCTTTGCACAATGCTTTCCTTTTTCAGGAAAGATCCGGGTGTTTATGGCACCCCCAGGTCCCTGAGTGGTTTTCTTTTGTCCTTTAGAGAGCTTATCGAAAAAAAATCTTTTGTCCCACATATTCTGTAAAGAGCGTCAATGCCCTTGGCGTAGCCCGAGTGCAATGTTCTTGTCCAACTCGGGCACTCGATTGTTAGAAATCCTCCACACACATAGGAACCCCATCTGGGGTCTCTCTGCCCCACGTACAACTTTGTTACACTCTCTTGCAAATAGGCTGTTCCACGCTCAAACGTGGTCCCATTATGGGATGCAGCTACAAAGAACAACCCCACCCCCCCGCCCCAACCGCTACCTGATACCCCTCTGACAGTTCTCCCGTGCCCATTTAACCGATCCAAGCTCTGGCCCCAGGAGAAAGCTGTCAGAACCTCAGAGGCACTCATGCAGCGTTTGTGTAGTCGTACAGTTTAAGCAGCTGACATGGCAGCACCAATGGAAAGTGCAATGACATCTCTCGGTGACCTTCTCAGTCAGGGTGCGGAATCCCCTCCCACAGCACAGCAAGTCACAGCCGTCTAGACCCAGGGAGGTGTTATTGCAAACTCGGCCTGTGGTACCTGTGGTGCCTATTTTGCTATTTGCAGTACAGAAGTTGGGCGACTTCTCGAAGTAGACCAGGTCCTGGGGGGAGTGCGGCTTGTGAGCGGGGTTCTCAGGCTCCAGGTGCCGCATGTCCGCTCGGGAAGCGCGGTTACTGCCCTTGTTGCCGTAGATCACTCGTGAAGCTCCATCAAACCGGTCCTTCAGGAAATTACCCACTGTCCGAAAGGTGGGGAGCCGCATCCAACAGGTTTTAACTGTGCAAGAGCCAGACATCCCATGACACTTACACTCCTGTCTCATCTCGGCATGGACTGTCTGTGAAATTGATAAATAGTAATCAGTATCTGCTTATTGGAAAGCATTGCGCTCAGCATTATTGCTCCTCCAATGTCGAGAGTATTGCAGAACTTGTCTCTGTTGTCGTGAACACAACATCTCTCGATTTGGTGAGTGACTGTAGTCTGGACCCACGCAAAGAGCTCAGATACACGGAAACATTACACGTGCAGAGCTGCAGTGGCATTTTAGTAGTGCATTCTCTAAATAATGAAAGGAAAAGTTTAAATTTATATAGCACCTTGCTTGACCTCCGACGTCTCAAACTGCTTCGCCGCCAATTGTGTATTTTTGAAGTTTAGTCACTGTTGCAATGGAAAGACAGCAGCCAGTTTGAACAGGGAGGACTCCCCCTGCTCTGCTTTGAAACAGCGTCACCGGACCATTGCATCCAGATGAGGAGGAAAACAGGGCTTTGTTTTGAGCCCGCTTCCAAAAGCTTGCACCTCTGACAATGCAGCATTCCCTCAGAGGTGTACTGAAGTGTTTATCTAGATTAGATCTTTGGTGAAACTTGAGGCAGAAATGGTGTTAGGGTTCAACCCTGTTTGTTAGACAATCAGATTAAAAGTCAATATATCTTGGGTTATTTTGGCGCTAATAGTAACTCATTCAAGCTGAAGAAGTACACTTTATTGTAAGCTCTATAAGATGAGTTCAAAACAGAAACTAATCACAATTAATTCTAGTATATTAATTCCATCTATTGTACCTGGACTAAATAAGGAGAGTATGAAGGACATACTATTGGTTATATCATTCTTTTTAAGAAGTGTCATTCATGGTTGTGGGTATCACCAGCAAGGCCAGCATTTGTTGCCCATCCCTAATTGCCCCTTAACTGAGTGGCTTGTTGAGTCATTTCAAAGGGCAGTTAAGAGTCAACACATTGCTGTTACATGTAGCCAGACCAGGTAAGGATGACAGATTTCCTTCCCTAAAGGACATTAGTGAACCACAGCTGGAGTACTGCATTCAATTTTGCTCACCACATTAGAGGAAGGATGTAATTACTGTAGAGAGGGTGCAAAGGAGATTTACCAGGATACTGTCTGAAGGATCCGAGCTATGAGGAAAGATTGGATAGTCTGACTTGTTTTCCTTGAAGCAGCTAAGGTTGAGAGGAGATGGAGCAGAAGTGTAGAAAATGATGAAGGGCATAGACAACAAGGATAGGAAGACACATTTTCCATTAGTAGAAGGGTCAATAACGAATGGCATGGATTTAAGCTAAGGGGTAGACGGCTAAAAGGAGAGGTGAGGAGACTTTCATCTGAGGATGTTCGAGTCTGGAACTCACTGCCTGAAAGGGTAATTGAGTCAGATATTTGTTGACTAGCACTGACATGATGGGCTGAATGTTGATGTGAACGAGGTTTTGAAACAACAAAAAAGAAAGGATGGTTTCAGGATCATTATTACTGAGACTAGCTTTCAATTTCAGGATTTATTTTTAGGTATTTTTTACTCAATCTATTCAGAGATGCTGTTACATACCTCTGGAGCAGGTGGAATCTGAACCTGAGCCTCCTGACTTGCAGATAGGGATACTACTACTACACTACAAGAGGCCCCAGGATTTATATGTATATATATATTTAGAAGTGCTTTCACATGCAACTGAATGGCTTTTTTCCCACCATCAAATCACCCATGTTTCCAATTAATCAAATTACATGCAAAGGTGGTTAAGGACAATGTAATAATACCAAAGGTGAGGCAGAGGGAGGGGGCTCAATAAAAATAGAGTTGGAAGGGGAGATAAGGCGCTCCACCTCTCTCTAAAAGCATCAAGAGTATTGGTGGACACCAAGTGCTCCCTCTCGGAGGAGACACAGGCACGAACGTCGAAACCAACAAGGAGATCCTCTGACTTGCCCACTGCACAGGGTGCCCAAAGATCAGGAGCATGGGCCTGAAGCACAACCAAAAGAATAACAAATGATTTTTCAAATTTGACATTAATAAATCTTTTCTAATTAACTTACTCAGAGATGTTATGACACATCTCTGGAATCTAGAATTTGAATCTGGGCCTCCTGGCTCAGAGGGAGGAGCTCTATCACTGCACTACAAGAGCCCCTCGGGGTCTTTTTTAATATCCAGAATTGTTATCACACAACTGAACGGCTTTTCTCCCATCACTGAATCACCCCATGATACTTTCCATCTATTATCCACCATCAGTAATCACCTATGTTTCCAATTACTCAAGTTATGTGCAAAGCCCATTAACGGCAAAGTCATAACACCAGAGGTGAAGGATTCTCACTAGTCTAGTGAGATTACCATGACATGGCAGATGGAGTTCAGTTTGGATAAATGTGAGTCATAAAGTCATTGAGATATACAGCACGGAAACAGACCCTTTGTTGCAACTTTTCTATGCCAACCGGATATCCTAGATAAAGCTGGTCCCATTTGCCAACATTTGGCTTGTATCCCTCTAAATCCTTCCAATTCATATACCTATCTAGAAGCCTTTAATATGTTGTAATCATACCAGCCTCTACCACTTCCTCTGACAGCTCATTCCATACACGCACCACCCTCTGCGTGAAAACGTTGCCCCTTAGGTCCCTTTTAAATCTTTCCCCTTTCACCTTAAACCCATACCCTCTAGTTTTGGACTTGCCCACCCTGGGGAAAAGACCTCGTCTATTTACCCTATCCATGCCCCTCATGACGTTATAAATCTCTATAAGGTCACCCCTCAGCCTCTGACATTCCAGGGAACATAGCCCCAGCCTGGTCAGCCTCTCCCTATAGCTCAAACCCTCCAACCCTGGCAACATCCTTGTAAATCTTATCTGAACCCTTTCAAGTTTCACAACATCCTTCCTATAACAGGATGACCAGAATTACACACAGTAATCTAAAAGCGGCCTAACCAATGACCTGTGCAGCCGCAACATGACCTCCCAACTCCTATGCTCAATGCACTGACCAATAAAGGCAAGCTTACCAAATGCGTTCTTCACGATCATATCTACCTGCGACTCCACTTTCAAAGAACTATGAACCTGCACTCCAAGGTCTCTTTGTTCAGCAGCCCTCTTCAGGACCTTACCATTAAGTGTATAAGTCCTGTACTGATTTGCCTTTCCAAAATGCAACACCTGACATTTATCTAAATTATCCATCTGTCACTCCTTGGCCCATTGGCTTATCTGATCAAGATTGCATTGTACTCTGAGGTAACCTTCTTCACTGTCCACTACATCTCCAATTTTGGTGTCATCTGCAAACTTACTAACCATACGTCCTATGTTCACATCCAAATCATTTATATAAATGACAAGAAGCAGTGGACCCAGCAGTGATTCTTGTGGCACACCGCTGGTCACAGGCCTCCAGTCTGAAAAGCAACCCTCCACCATCACCCTCTATCTTCTACCTTCAAGCCAGTTCTGAATCCAAATAGCTAGTTCTCCCTGTATCCCATGTGATCCAACCTTGCTAACCACTCTACAATGAGGAACCTTGTCAAATGCCTTACTGAAGTCCATATAGATCACATCCACCTCTCTGCCCTCATCAATCCTCTTCATTACTTCTTCAAAAAACTCAATCGAGTTAGTGAGACATGACTTCCCCTTTGCATTTTGGTACAACAAACAAGGACAGGACTTATACAATTAGTGGTAGAGTGTTGGATAGTGTAATAGAACAGAGGGACCTAGGGTTCAGGTACATAATTCTTTGAAATTTGCATCACATAAAGACAGGGTTGTTAAAAAGGCGTGTAGCATGCTTGCTTTCATTGCTCAGTCCTTTGAATGTAGGAGTTGGGAAGTCATGTTGAGGTTGTATAGGACATTGGTGAGGCCTCTTCAGGAGTACTGTGTCCAGGTCTGGTTGCTCAGTTACAGGAAGGATATTATTAAGCTAGAGAGGGTTCAGAAGAGATTTACCAGGATGTTGCCAAATATGGAAAGTTTGAGATATAAAGAAAGGCTGGATAAACTGGGACTTTTTTTTCACTGGAGCGTAGAAGGTTGAGAGGTGACCTTATAGAAGTGTATAAAATCATGAGGGGTATAGATAGAGTTAATGGTAGGATTCTTTTCCCTAGAATGGGGTATTTCAGGACTTGGGGCCATATTTTAAGGTGAGAGGAGAGAGATTTAAAAAAAGACATGAGGGGAAAATTCTTTTACACAGGGTGGTTTGCATTTGGAATGAACTTCCTAAGGAAGTGGTGAATGTGGGCACTGTTACAAGGTTTAAAGGACACTTAGATAAATACATGGATCGGAAAGGTTTGGAGGGGTATGGGGCAGGAGCAGGCAGCTGGGACTAGTTTGGTTTGGGATTATGTTTGGTATGGACTGGTTGGACCAAAGGGTCTGTTTCCATGACTCTATGACTCTGTGACACAACCACCTCCCCTCACATCCTGAGTACCCACAGCTTTAACTTTAACTTGTAGCCTGTGTTGTGGGACTCAATGGTCTGGATTTTCCACTGGCTAGCCAGTGTTTATTCTAGCATAGTTGGCATCTGTGCCTAGGCAGCCTGCCTAATCCCCATCATAGCACACTCTGAAGGATGGACTATTAAATACATAATCTATCTCCACAGTCACAATTCAAATGACCCTATGCCTACTACACACACACCCAACTACACCTCCCCCAGACCCTGCTGTGACAACCTCCACTGGGCCCGACCCCTTTCTCTCCTGCTGGTCCTGACCCGTTCCCCACACTGGGCCCAATGCAACCTTCCCACCCCTGACAGGAACAAACATGCCGGACCCAACCCGAAACTCCCTCTGCAGCCCCCCTCCTCTTTCCACCACCACTAGACCCAAACCATTTTCCCCACTGCCACTGCATAGGAAAGCCCCAGACCCCACCACCCTGCTCTCTACCAGGTCCAATTTCTTCCACCACCCTGACTTACACTAAGCATTTACCTTGCTTACCTTACACCCTGGCCATTGCTACCCTGCCCCCTTCCCATTCACCATCCCACCCACCTGGCGCTGGACATAGCTGGGACTCTACTAACCTCGTATGCTATCCCCTACGTATCTGACATCTTACACTTGGCACCCTAACCCCTCCACAGCTGGCACCTTCCCGACTGACAACTGTTTTGCACTATGAAAGAGCTGTCAGAATGGAAGGATGGCTCCACATTTCTAAAGGAACCCTGAACAGAATTCCCTTTCAGAAATCTGGAGCTCCTTTCTGTCATAAAAAAGTGACGGGGTGGCAGTCAGTATGAGATTGCCCCACCCCCCCAGAAAATCTAGCCAAATTTTTTTTTTAGAAAGTTGCACTAAGAAACAACCTCTTCACATTTACCCTGTCAAGCCCCGAAGAAGCTTGTATATTTCAATACGGTCACCGCCCATTCTTCTAAACCCCAATGAGTAAAGGCCCAATCTACTCAACCTGTCCTGAAGAAAATTTCTCCATACCCGGGATCAGCCTAGTAAACCTTCTCTGGACTGCCTCCAATGCCAGCACATCTTTCCTGCGATAAAGGGACCAAAACTGTTCATAGTATTCCAGCTGTTTGACTAGTGCCTTGTATAGTTTTAGCAAGACTTCTGTACTTTTATAGTCCATTCCCTTTGAGATAAAGGGCAATATTCCATTTGCTTTCCTTATTACCTGCTGAACTTATATGCTACTTTTTTTGTGATTTATGCAGGAGGATCCCCAAATCCCTCTGTGTTGTAGCTTTCTGCAGTCTTTCTCCATTTAGATAATATTCTTCTTCTTTCTGCCAAAGTGCACAACCTGACATTCTCCACATTATATTCCACCTGCTAAATATTTGCCCAGTCACTTAACCTGTCTATATCCCTCTGCAGACATGTGTATCCTCAATACTTACTTTCCCGACTATTTTTGTGTCTTTTGCAAACTTGATGATAGTACATTGTAAGTAATTGTGGTCCCAGCACTGATCCCTGTGGCACTCCAGTTACAGATTTCCATCTTGAAAACACATTGCCTATCCCAACTGTGTCTTCTATCAATTAGCAAGTTTTCTATCCATGCCAATATACTACCCTTAATACCACAGGCTCTTATCTCATTAAGTAACCTTATGTGTAGTACCTTATCAAACACTTTTCAGAAATCTAAACATATTACATCTTCTGATTCCATTTTTTATCTATCCAATTTGTTACCTCAAAGAGTTGTAATAACTTTTTCTAGTTTGATATCCCTTCATGCAGCCAGCGTTTCTAAATGGGGCTGTGTTATTACATCCTTTAAAGACTTTAACATTTCCCCAATGGCAGACATTAAGCTAACTCACTTTTTACCTGTTTTGTTACCTTGTCTCCTTCCCTTTTTTTAGAAAATAAAGGTATTACATTGGCAGTTTTCCAAACCTCTGGGATTTTTCCAGAATCTAAGGATTCTTGGAAAATTACTATCCGTAGATTCACTATCTCTGTAGCTACTTCCTTTAATATCCCAGGATGAAACCCATCAGGTCAAGGAGATGTATCAGCCTTTAGCCCCACTATCTTCCCGAGTATTTTTTCTCTAGTGATAGTTATTGTATTTATTTCCTTACCCCATTTTTCTCCTTGATTATTTCGTATTTTAGAATACTAATAGTGTCTTCTAATGCGAATATTGAAGCAAAGTATTTATTCAACACCTCTGCATTTCCTGGTACCCATTATTATTTCTTCAGCCTCATTCTCTAAGAGGCCTATATTCACTTCGATTCTCTCTTCCTTTTTATATATTTACAGAAACTTGTACTTTCTGTTTTGATATTGTGTGCTAGTTTACTCTCTAAGTTTATTTTCTCCCTCTTTTATTGTTGGTCTTTTAAAACTATCCCAATCCTCTGGGGTTGACCACTAACCTTTGCCATGTTGTATGTTTTTTCTTTCAATTTGATACTGACCTGAACTTCCTTGGTTAACCAAGGTTGGTTTATTCCTTTCCCAGGATCCTTCTTCCTCATTGGAATATGTCTTTGCTGACAGCCATGAGTTATTTTCTTAAATGCTTGCTAGTGTTCATCAACAATCTTTTATGCTAAACCCTTCCCAGCCTACTCCAGCCAACTCTGCCCTCATTCCTTTGTAATTACCCTTATTTAAGTTTAGCTCTGCTGTTTCTGACCCAAGTTTTGCACTCTCAAACTGAATGCTAAATTTTGCTATGTTATGGTCACTGTTTCCTTGAGGATCTTTTACTCTGAAATAATTTATTAAACCTACCCCATTACCAGATCCAAAATTGCCGTGTTCCTGGGAGGATCCACAGCATATTGTCCTAAGAAACTGTCCCGAATACACTCAATGAATTGTTCCTCGTGACCACCTTTGCCAATTTGATTTTCCAAATCTGCATTAAGATTAAAGTCACCCATAATTATGGACCCATGAATTGGATCTTAGATGGAATGTTAACAGAGATGTGGTTATTTCAGTCAGTGTTTTTTTGTATGGAACTTCAAGATGACACCTTGAGGTGTGACACCTCTGTGACCACATATTCTCATGTGAAATCTTTAAAGTATGTGATTGGAGAGATGCACTATAGCATCAATAGTATACAGTATAGTTATAATTGTTGGATCTCCCATGAAATTGCATGCCTCAATTAAATGTTAAATTAAAGTGAATTAATCATTTAAGAATTTAAGATCAAGATGAAGAGAAATTCTTTCCTGTCAGAGGGTAGTGGGTCTTTGGAATTCCCTGTTTTGAAAGGTGGTGGAAGCAGAGCCTTTGAATATTTTTAAGCTTGAGGGAGGTGGATTTTTTTAAGCAAGGGGGTGAAAGTTTATCGGGGTTAGGTGGAAATGTGGAATAATCAGGTTAGTCATGATCTTATTGAATGGAGGAGCAGGCTCAAGGCGTCAAATGGCCTACTGCACTCCTTGTGTGTATGTTCAAATGTAAGAGTTAAATTGAGTACATAAATTGTTTTTCTCCCCTACAAACAACAGCTGATAAATGGGACTGTGCACATAATGTATTAGTTACAGGAGTACACACACCTTTTGCAAATCATCCCATTCTTTTACTTGTTCAAGTTACCTCAGGCTTCAAAAGTTCATCCTTACTTTGTCTTGTTATTCTACTACAAAATAAAAATTGCTGCTGCCTTCGAAGGTTGTCATAATGAGCGTTATTTCTAACAACTAATGTTAAAAGAGCACATGAGCATGACATACAAACAGTAAGTGCTACTACAATCCATAAAATGGTCGTTCTTGCTGTCAATCATTATGGAAGAATCTTGTTGGTTATGCATCATCAGAAGGGAGGCACAGGCTGGGGCACAATTCTGGGAATTCTGTCCAAAGGGTTACACAGAGAGACATATGCATTCTGGAAATTCTAGTCCACCACCTTGCAGAAATTCCCAATCAGCTGACAGTGATGGCTGAGAGAAGCCCTTTTATGTCAACTTCTAGGTGCTCGAAGGAAAGCCTCTGGAGGGAGCCCTTAAACAAGTGATTTCATACGCAGCAAGGGCAAATGTGGGAGTATGTTTAAATGATTGTGTAAACTTCATTTGCTAAATATAGTTTCAATCCTATGTCACACTATGTTCCTCAAGTCACTGATCCAAACAAGATGGCAGTTTAAACAAATTTCAGACAATATTTTGACTAATTTCTCTGGTTAGCATTCACGGGTAAAGGCTTGACTACTGTTTCTTGATTGGCCATTTCTATTCCTGTTTGTTATTTATTGATTGGTGCATTTCTTGTCTGTTCAGTTGAGCTTTGTTAGTATTTTATGAAGCAATAGTTTGCCAAAGGTGCAAATATGAGGTAGGCTGCTAATTGTGACATTTTTTATGACTGTAACTTTGAAATGGGACAGTGTTTGAAGTAAAAACAGAAGTTGCTGGAAAAACTCAGCAGATCTGGCAGCATCTGTGAAGAAAAATCAGAGTTAAGGTTTCAGGTCCGGTGACCATTCCTCAGTGTTTGAAATAATTTTTTTTAGAAATGACGTAAATAATAGATGCCCAGTGGTGTTTCTTTATGCTGAATCAGATGTTGTTCTGTTGCACAATGATTAAGAGGCAAGTTGGAAAAACATAAATACTGAAAGAATTTAGAAAGAGGTTTGTCTGCTATTCCCAGCATTTGGAAATACATTTCCAGTAAAGTAAGTGGGAAATAAGTGAACACTATTTACTTATACACTACATGATGAGAAATGACTTCAAATAAGTCTGTTATATCTCACACTTACATAAATAAATCTCTACCTAATATGGGGGAGCAGTTCCATCTGCTCAGGTCATGGCTTTCTGTTGTAGCAGAGAAATATATAATTGATAATCGGCATTGTTACTTATTTATAACATAACTGTACAACCATATGTCATGAAACTCTGCTTAAGTAAACAGGTTTAAATCACTTTCCTTCAGAACCAAATCTGAACAATGGTGCAATCCATGTACTTGACGCTACCCATAATAGGGATCAACTTGTTTTCCTTCGATACTTTTTGCATTTTGATATAAACATCAAAAGAAATTGCAGTTGGTGTAACTATTAGCTTGAAATTTTAAAAATATAAGGACCTACTCTGAGTCATTTTGACTGAGGTTCTTCGTCACTTCAAATTGATCAAAGTTTCTATGCTTATAGTCGTTTGGTGACACAGAACTTGCACATTGCTGAAAAAGACACACATTCTTGAAACTTTTCATCTTGCACTCATCAGGACAATTCACAAGAATGTAAATGTAAAGAGGCAGTTAGATCTAACTGGTACGTTCTCCATGGAAATGCCTCTACCAATCAAATTCCACATACCCAACCTCCCCTTTGTCATAAGGTCAGAAATGGAGATGTTTAATTATCAGCGAGCCATGTTCAGTACCATTTGTGACTCCTCAGGTACTGAAGCAATTTATGATCAAATGCAGCAATATTCAGGTGTGGTCTGACAAGTGGCAAGTAATGTTTGTGCTACACAAGTGCTAGGCAATGACCATCACCACAAGAGAGAAATTAACCATTACGCCTTAATATTCAATGGGATTGTCATTACTGAATAGCCCACTATCAACATCTTGGGGGTTGATTAGAAACTAAACTGGACCTGCCATATAAATACAGTGGCTCCAAATGCAGGTCAGAGGCTAGAAATACTGCAGCAAGTAACTCACCTCCTGACTCCCCAAAAACTGACTAAGACACAAATCAGGAGTGTGATGGAGTACTCCCCACTTGCCAGGATGAGGAAACTCCAACAACACCCAACAAACTTGATACCATCCAAGACAAAGTGACTCGCTTGATCGGCACCACGTCCATACACATTCAGTCCCTCCACTGCTGATGCACAGTAGCAGCAGTGTGTACCATCTACAAGATGCACTGCAGAAATTCACCCAGGATCCTTTGACTTCACCTTCCAAACCTTGGACCACTTCCATCTAGAAGAACAAGGGCAGCATATATATGTGAACTCCACCACCTGAAACTTCCCCTGCAAGCCACTCACCATCCTGACTTGAAAATATGTTGCTGTTCTTTCAATGTCACTGGATCAAAATCCTGGAATTCTCTCCCTAATGGCACTGTGGGTGTACCTACAGAACATGGACTGCAATGATTGAAGAAGGCAACTCGCCACCTTCTTAAGGGCATCTAGGAATGGGCAATAAATCCTGGCTCAGCCAGTGAAGCCCACATTCCATTAATAAGTGAAAAAATAAAGCGGCCCTCATACAGGATAAAATTTTTCCCCTTACGAATGTCCTGATGAGTGGAAGATGAAAAACTTTGATAAAGTGTCTTCCTTCAGTAATACTCAAATTTCTGGGCTTGCTGATTGACATTATGAAAGAATGGCTAGTACAAAACATTCATCATCTGTGTTTTCCAATGAACATCAGGAAGAGATTGGAAGTGTGCTACTTTACCTTGTGATGTTTTACGCAAAGAAGGAAGACGTAATGCAGTGAGGCAGCGCAAATGCTTTTAGTGGTCAGCTACCTCGTTGGGTTGCTTCAGTTGAGACTGAGTTTAAGATTTGGGCTCATTGGCAGAGGACTGTTCATGTTCAATGCTGGAGCCATTTTGAATGTAAGACTTCTGAGACTGAATCACATGTTTACTAAATTTTATAGCTGTTAATAGCTTAAGGATATTGGCCCTGAATTTCAACAATGATTGTCCTAATCTCTCTAAAGCAGGAAAACATCAAAGAACCCCCAGAGATGGAGTGATATGCTTTATCGCCAGGGCTTCCCTGATCTTCTGTTGAAAATGTAACAAATGATTGGAACAGACCTCCAGAAGAGATTCCTTATTTCTAGTTATAAGTCTTAAGTTTAATAGAAAAACTATAATTGCAACAGAAACAATCTTCAAGAAATTATTTTGAGCAATTCCACTGTATGCTCCTTTTCACTTTATTGGCATATTTTATTGAGCCTCATGCAGTCTTAGGTTTTTAGATGTCCTTTTAACGATTCTACATTGGCAGTTTGTCTACTTACATCCTGGGTATTTATTTTTTTTCCCCTCCCTAGATCTACTATTGTTGATCAGTGCTGTTTTAAGAATATGAAATTTGAGTAAATAAGCTGCACAAATTTTTAAAATCTAGACATGTGATGTAATAGATAAAGGGTGTGCAGCAAGTAAAGTGAACATACATAAGATAGAGAAATGGATTAAACTTTGTAGTCTCTTCAAGATGGTATTGACTGGTCTATTTTCTGTGTACACTAGAAGTTTAATTCTCCAATAAAGAAAATTCACTTTTCATTAAGACATATCTATGGTATGTACAAGCAACAAATGGGTTAGGAAATCTTTACTTTCTTGGAATCAGTCAAATAATTACTCCTTAGAATTTAGTGCTCAAATTTAGGGCTGTGCT